AAGACGAATAAAAAGACAGAAAAGGGCAAACAAGGATGTCAGAAGAGACTCCAAAACGTGTCACTGAGCAGCAAAAGTAGCTAAAGCAAATGGAAGAAATGGTGTAAAGAGCTGAACAGAATATTTCAAAGGGCAGTTTGAGAAAACAAAGTATTATAATTGAATGTGCAGATCTAGGGTAGAGAACCAAAAGAGAAGAATAAGCTACACAATTCTCAAGCTGAAAGAACTGGAAAAACATTCAAGCCTCGAGTTGACATACTGAAAGATTCTATGGGTAAAATACTGAAAGGCACAGAGAGCCCAAAAGAAACAGAAGAAATACACAGTCACTGTACCAAGAATGGTCAAGGCTCAACCACTCAGAAGGTAGCCTAGGAACAAGAACCCGTGGTACTAAAGAAAGTCTACGCCGCAATGAAGGTATCGGGAAGAACAAGGCCCCAAGAACAGAAAGAAAACCAACTGAGATGTTTCCATAAACACATGCAGCCCAGGATGTCCTCTCCCACCTATGGCAAGAAATTGAGAACACAGTTACTTACCTGGCCAAATGACTGGAAGAGATCCATAGAATGCCCAGTCCAAAGAAAGCGACCCAACAGAAGGCGGAAAGTATCAAACCACCTCATTCGTATCACATGCAAGGAAAACTTCCTGGCGGTAATTCAAAAGCAGTTACAGCAGTACATCGACAGGGAACTAACTCCCAGAAATTCAAACAGGATTCAGAAGATGACCGGGGCTCCCACTGCTAATATCACATGGATTCTGGCTGAAAAGACAGAATCCCAGAAAGATCTTTTCCTGACAGTGCAAACGTATTTGACTGGAGGGATAACACTGTAAAGAACAGAAATTCCACAAAACGTCATTGTGCTCACGTACAACCTGCACATGGACAGTTGTTCCAACAGAAGAAGGGCGTACTGTATGGTTTTAAGTCAGGTGTGTGTCAGGGTTGTGTCCTCTCACCATACTTATTCAGTCTGTCTGCTGAGCAAATCATCCAAGAAGCTGGACTATATGCGGGCACCAGAACTGGAGGACGGCTCATTAACTACCTGTGATATGCAGACGGCGCCCCTTGCTGCTGAAACTCGTGAGGACTTGAAGCACCTCCTGACGAGGACGAGACTACACCTTTCAGTATGGACCACTGGTGAGAGCGGTAATACCGGGAGGGGGGAGGGAAGGTGGGGTAGAAAGGGGGAACCGATCACAAGGATCTACATATAACCTCCTCCCTGGGGATGGACAAAAGAAAAGTGGGTGAAGGGAAACGTTGGACAGTGTAAGTCATGACAAAATAATAATAATTTATAAATTATCTAGGGTTCATGAGGCAGGAGGAGTATGGAGGGAGGAGCTGATACCAAGGGCTCAAGTAGAAAGAAAATGTTTCGAGAATGATGATGGCAACAAATGTACAAATGTGCTTGACACAATGGATGGATGTATGGGTTGTAGGAAGAGTTGTACGAGCCCCCAATAAAATGATAAAAAAAAGAAGAAGAAGAAGGACTAGTCCCCAGTGCAGTAGAGGGCCGGTGGACACAGAGGGACCGTCAACAAGTGGGACTGGCAGTGGCTGCAACAAGGGCCTGAGCACAGCAGTGACTGTGGGGAAGATGCAGGTCCAGGCAGTGTTCCTCTGGTTGTACATGGGGCCTCTGTGAGTTGGAACCAATTTGATGGCACCTAACAAAAACAATAGCCACCACTCTGAAAACAAGTACAAGGTTATAAAGATCAGATTTATGGACTACACCCACTTGCACTTTCATCTTATGTAGATTTCCCCTCACTCTGAAACAATTAGGAGGCCTGATGGCATTATCGAGTAAGCTTGGGAATGCTAATCTCAAGGGATGTGGTTCAAACCCATCAGCTGCTCTGCAGTGGAATGATGTGGCTTTCTGCGCCCGTGAAGATTCACAGCCTTGAAAACCACATGCAGGGTCACTACAGTTCAGAATCGACGCCATAGCAGTGGGTTTGGATTGGTAGAAACAATTGAGCCAGTCCCTACTTGAAGCCAACTATCACCATCATTTTCACTCACCGCATACGCAGCTTTCAAATCACCAAAAAGGCTTCAAGCCTTTTCTTGCAGTGACCAGACACCTACTGCTGCTGAATCAACTCCTCACAGTGGCGCTACACAACAAGGTGGAACTGCCTCTGGAAGCGGACTAGGGGACTTCAACTGCCAGTCTTTTGCTGAGCATCCGAGCCCTTTCATCTCTCTATTTCCAGGGGCTCCAACTGTGCACTATCAAAAAACACCACCCTCACTGCCTTGACTTGATGCCAACTCACGGCGACCCTTCAGGACAGGGTGGAGCGGCCCCTTGTGAGTTTCCAAGACTGACACTCTTCACGGGAATAGAAAGGCCCGTCGTCCTCCCCCTTTCTGCACTACAGTGTGGCTAAAGAAGTACCTTACCCACCTGTTCTGACTCAATGACAGATTCCCCTCCAAGACAGTTAGTAATGGATCTCACTGGTAACCGGGGAATGCTTAAAGGCCAACACTATCTTTAAAGAAACCCTTATGGTGCTGTGAGCTGAAAAATCAAGTTCTAGCTGCAAGGTCCGCTGTTCAAACCCAGGCTGTCTGCTCCCATAGACTCTGAAACCCTCTGTATATAGTCGCTATGATGGCAGTGGGTTTTTTCTGATTTGGCTCACTTTGAATATATGAGCTATCTTCATCAACTAAAATGAGGCTTCAAAAGGGTAGTGAAAAAAAATCCAATATCCCATGAACTTTTGGAAGCTCCCTCATAGTCCTGAAAACCTACTCCTTCAGCACTCAATTTCCAAATTCCTCTCAAAATCTTCCATTTTCAATTCATGGCAGCGCTACATGTGTGACAGCAGAATTACACTTCGCAGTTTTCAATGGCGGATTTTGGGGAACTTTCTTCTACAATGCTTCTGGGTGGCTGGAACCTTCAGCCCTTAGGTTAGCAGCCAAGCATATTCATTGTGAGTACCACCATTTGCACAAGTGCCCCATCCCTGTCATTTAGCCTCGCAAGTACATCTTTGTCTCTCTACTAGAGCTCTACTCTTTAAGCATGGTCCAGGGCTGTAGTTTAAGCTTTCAATGCACCTTTTCATTCTCATTGCCTTTCAAAGTAAAAATAATAGTTAATCCACTGTGTGCGCCAAGCCCTCGTGTGAATGATCCAGTTTAAACTGCACCACAGCCCGGTAAGACAGGCACTATCATTATCATCATCTTATAGCTAAGGGACGTGAGGCTCACAAGTGTTCAAGCCCTTGTCAAATACAATTACTCTTTGATACTCTTCGATTACACAAATATAAATGTCTATGGATTTGTTTCTCTACTCAACCTGGACTAACACACCTTAAATTGAAAGGGCTGGGGAAGGCAATTCCAAAGTGGATACAATTGGGCTGCTAGAACAATAGGGGACATTGACTTATCACATATACAGAGGCTTCAAAAAGATTGGGGTAGCAGGGGGGTGGGGATCGATTATCTTCTCAGTCCATTTTACCAAGACCTTAGCAAAGCCCTTTCTTACATACACAACATTCAAGGCTCTCCTTTGCTACTAGTCCAATAGCCACGGCAAACTCCTGCAGTTAATTTCCTGAAGACACGTGTTTTCTCAGTTCTCATCCTTATGCATACTGTTCTCTCAACCTGAGTGTCCCGTTCTCTCTTCTCTTCCTGGCAAAGGCCTCTGCAGCCTCCCGATGGGGAGCTTTCTCTGAGCTCATCCCCTCTGCCTACCCCGAACTACTAGCGCCAAACTGCACAATGCCACGGCACTTGGGACAAACTCTGGAATGCCACTTACGTATTCCATTGAAGTGAAGTTCGGATAGATCTGCTTCAGTAAGCTATCACAATTTGAGCAGAATTTTACTGATATTATAGAGCCGACACAACTGTCTCAGCATTTGTGTTCTGAAACTTGATTCTAGGAGACATACAGCTCCAATTGGTAGCCTTCGTGGTGTAGTTAGTGGGTTACTTGGTAGGTTGCTAACTGCAAAGTCAGCAGTTCAAAACCACCAGTCGCTCTCTGGGAGAAAGATGAGGCATTCTACTCCCCGACAAAATTACAGTCCCAGACACCCACAAGGGGGAGTCTACCTTCTCCAATAAGGTCACTATGAGTGGGAACTATAGAGTCACTATAGGGTCCTATAGGGTCACTATGAATGGGAACTGCCGTGTGGCAGTGAGTGAGTGTGAGTGAACGTTCCAGTCGGGGGAATGGGGAAATCCTCTGCAAACACTATCAGACGCATCTGAGAGACATGAGTCAGGGCGGGACTAAATGTCTATGTGGAAGCTGCCTGGCTTTCTGATCCCTGAATTATATCACCTTTCCGGTGATCTCTCTAATGATCATGTTCATGTTATTCTAGGCATTACAGAAAACATGTTTAATTTTAGTTTTTATGAGAAACAAAAGAATGAAATTGAAATACAGAATTGTGTGTGTATGTGAATAACGCACAGGATGTTTAGCAACACATCACCACATATCCATGGCTGGCAGACTATCCAAGTCCCCAGTCCCTCTCTTCTCTTGCATATTGTTAATAGGAGACTGCATCCTAGTTTCTTCTTCCATCTCTGGGGAATTACATCTCTCAGTCCCCATTTGGCCTCCTCTCTCCAGGGCAGAGTTGATAAAGATATTTTAATTATAATTCCTAGCTAGTTAATAAAATGAGGGGTTGGGGGGAAGCCCCTTATCTCCACATAAACAAGAGGCCTGAAATATAAGGCGCCTGTCTTTTCCCACCATTTCAGAGTCTACAGTATGAGATATGCAAATAAGTTGATATTCCAATGATAGGCATACAATGAGGTGAAAATACCAGTGAATTCTCATAGATCTTGCTCACACTACAGCATATGAATATGGGAACACTGGGAATTAATGCAGATGAGCAAAGAGAAGGTAGGTTTATCTTTTTGTCATTAGGAAAACGTCACCCACTTGTATAAGACAGGTCGGTCCTGCAGGGCTTCCATGGCCTCAGTCAGTACTGGGGATATGTCACATGACTCTTGTGTCAATGCTCTGCATTCACCTGGAAAACAATGAATATTGTAACTCCTTTTTCAATAAAGCTTGTTCCTTATCATGCCCACTGTAGACACTGGAATTAAAATCTATAGAAAATATCACATTCTGAAACATCTGCTTGGGAAAAGCCAAGAGACTCTGCCAATCAGAAACTAGTTTGTGCCGCCATCTAAACAAAGGCTCACTTCAACGTGCATATCACTTTCAACAGTCACTTGGGCCACCTGGTACCACCCCAAGCCTCCGTTTACTATTGTAACAGTCTACAGCTGGGAAAACACTGACAGAGACAGAGTCGCATGGCAGTGCACTCGGTGCAGTGGGCAAGAGGCGATACTAAAATCACATTGCCTGTTTCTTTCCTCAGGGACCGATGTTACAGTAGCTTGCAAAAATCATTTCTGGGGCTCAATAACATGCGGCAGTAAAACTTTAATTTCAAAACAGTCTGGATTTAAAACTCTTTGAAACAGCCTCTAAGCTTACAGTTTATTTTACTATTCTAATTTTATCCAAGGGAGTCCTGGTGGCGTAGTGGGCTATGCCTTGGGCTGCTAACTGCAAGGTCAGCAGTTCCAAACCAACAGCTGCTCCATGGGAAACGAGGCGGCTTTCTCCTTCCACAACTAAGGACTGTCTCGGGAACCTGCAGGAGCAGTTCTACCTGGCCTGTCCTCCAGGTTGCTGAGTCAGACTCGACTCAATGGCAGCGAGTGAGAATTGTACCCACACATTTAGAGCCTACTTGGAAATACCTAACTTTTTGATATGGGAGAACTTCAGAGTAGTGGTGTATTTAACTGAGGGGTGAAAAAAAACATATGCATGTGGAATTAAAGATATCTTAAAATGGCTTCTTGGTAGAAAGGCTTTCTACTCCCATAAACAGTTACAGTCTTGAAAACTCAAAGGGCAGTGCTACCCTGCCTTATTACAGATAGAGTCGCTATGAGTCAGCATCGACTCAAAGGCAGTGAGTGTTTTGGTTTAAAATGACTTCTTAGTCCCTATGAGTGAGAAACCCACTATTTGGAATCTTTATGGTAGATGCCATGCAAACACAAAGAAATGTGAGGCGGTGTCCTTACCTTAACAAAGTAGTGTGCTACTAAACTATCAATAAATATTTCCAGAAATATGTGTCCAGAGATGGGAAATGACACCGTGATCCAATGTAGTCTGGAAAGCTCCAGGAAAGTATAGCATTGCGCTCAATCTTAAAGGCTGAGCTCAAATGTGGATGCAGAGAAAGCCAGACGACAGGAGTCCAGACAGGAGAAATCCGTGTGAACAAGAAGAGCAGCAAAGGAACAAGCTTCTGGAACTGGACAGGACGCCATGTGAATGGAACCAACACAGCGCTGGTGCCACTGGCTGACCGGGTCTAACCCTAACTGCTTCCCATAGGCAGGTGGTAGCGCCAGTCAAAGGACCGTTCTCCCGCACCATGCTTATTGGTTGGAACTGTTGTTAACAGGCCACTTCTTTAAGCAGTCTATCAAAACGTTTTAAAACAAAAGCATGCACATATTAGCTAAGGCAAATAAACCACTGGTGGTGGGGAGAATAGCACCCCAAAGATGCCAAGACCATCATCCCGGAACACGTGTGTTTCCTCACATTACTTTGTAGGTGGAATTAAGATCATATACCTTACACTAGACAGAGTACATTGGATGATCCACTTGACCCCCGTAAGCCCCATAAACCTGTTAAGAACTTGGCTGATAAGAGATTGAATGAGAGAGACACGACTGAAAAAAAGACAGCAGAGTCTTAAGAGAAACTGACCCTCTGTGGCGGGCTTTGAAGATGGAAGCAGAGCACCACAAGCCAAGGAGTGCTGGTGGTCTCTAAAAGCTGGAGGCCCTCAGAAAGGAAAGGCTGCTCTCAGTCCAGCAGCCTCAAGAGACTAAGATTTGCCAACAACCTGAACGGGCTTCCCTCAGGCCTTCAGGAGAGAAGCCCTGACAACATGTTGGTTTTAGGCTAATGAGACTCATGTCTGATTTCTGGCCTACCACTATTAGACAAGGCATCAAGGTGGGGTTAAGCAGTCAGCTTACAGTGATTCGTTACTTGCTATAGCAACAGAAAGAGCCCAGAGCCCCAGTGGTATAGCAGTTATGTGTTGGGCGCCTAACCACAAGGTCAGCTGTTCAAAACTATCAGCCCTTCCACAGGAGAAATATGAGGCTTTCTACTCCCACAAACAATTACATTCTCGGAATCCCAAAGGGACAATTCCAACCTGCTCTATAGAGTTGCCATGAATTAAAATTGACTCAATGGTGAGGTGGGATTATTTTTTTTTAGGTAATACAAAAGTGATCCACCATTTATAATAGTTATGTCATAATAAGACATAATCTTAGGCAGAAATTCTATCTGGATTTCTTTGGTTTTCATTACCACCTTGAATCAAGCACAGGGCTTGCTTGTAGATGCTCAGAATATAAATACAGAGCACACTATGTTCGATGTAAAGTGTGTTTTTAAATATGTTTCTTTTCACTAAGATCAAACAGTGATAATACATAAAGATCAAGTGAAATTAAAAAGCCAATCATTAACATTTATGAACCTTTACCACATGTTTTATATATAGATATAAACCAACACACACACACACACACACACACACACGTCTAACTTACTTTGAGCCCATCGGTAAAGTCTTTCATAAGCTGTTTCTTGAAGCAAGGCCATCTGCTCCATAATTTCTAAACTGAAAAAATACATATATAGATTCATTACAATTTAAACTTTTAGCCGGGAGCTACAGGGAAACACTTAGTTGGTTTAATTACAGGACAATTTTGTTACAGTATATAAATGTCTTATTTTGTGAAATCACTTTTCAAAAGCCTTTTCAATTAAAGGACTGTCGAATTTTAATACCATCACTGCTGTTTGACTCTAGACATACTAGGTATACTTTCCCTTACCCAAAGACAAACAGAGCCTAAACTCCGCATCCCAGAGTTTCCAAAAGGAACACTGGATGTCTCTAAAGTTCTGCAAGTAAAGGAGAAGTGTAATCATTCTGCACCTGTTACTCACCCGGCTGTCTGCTGGTTTGTCCGCAACAGAACTTTGACGTCATTATGGATCTGTTTCACTCTTCCCAATGCTTTGAAAAAATCCTGAAAATTAACAGACTTTAATATTCCTATTTTTAAAATATTCCTTTGTTTAAAGAATAAAAGCACACGTTATTCTAACTGAAATTTTACTACAAGAGGAAAACAAATCATATTGCCGATTCTAATGAAGCCTTCGCATGCTGACCTTTACCTTTTAAAGAGTGAAATATGTACTTATTCATATTTTAGAATATATGCTATTTCAAAGCCAGTGATATGTTAGTGAAAGAACTGCAAACTAAGGATAATTATAGAAAGCACAATGAACTATGTACATATTTCATGGTGTAAAGAAGCACGGCATTGTTATCACCAAGATAATGCATCACACAGCTTTTATGTACACTTGTTCTTCCCTCCTGAGGTTCTTAATTAAATATCAACTTGATAAACAATGTAGGGGTGGAGTCTAGCCTGCCAATCAGGTCACAGCCTGATGATGCCTGCTTGTAGGCGTGACCTTCTCATGAAGATTCTAGGAACTTCCTCTCTTGATTCTGCCATCAGGAGAGGCGGGCCACTCTCTCTCTCTCTCTGCCTTGATCTTCCTAGTGACAAGCCATGCAGAGACTTGCTCAGCCCTGTCACAGTCTCTATCTCTGCTTCACCTTCCTGTGGAAGAGCCACACTTGGAGAGTTGGAGGAGTCACGTAAAAACTCCCACCAGTGCTAAGATGCTTCTACTGCCATTGACTCCACAAGACTTTCACCCACTGGCCTGTGATCATCTGGCATTCAGCATCAGTGCATGTGTTGTGTGCATCTGAAGTGGAATTTATGGACTAGTATCAGAGTTATGGACTGATATCAGACTTAAGGGCTTGATCTGGATGGGGATGGGATGTTTTCTTGATATCCAATTACTCTTTGATATAAAGCTCTTTCTTATACGTACGAGGAGGTACTCAATAAAAAAAATGGAATCCCCCTTCTACTCTCAAACCCATGTATTTATTTTATTTTACAAAACATCACCTTCAAAGTACTCTCCATGACACTTAATACATTTGTCAAATCTGTGATTCCATTCTTGGAAACATTTTTCAAACTCATCTGTTTGGATGGCTGACAGCACCTCCACCCACCTACCCGTTTTTTCCTTCACCTCTTCTATACCATCAAATCACTGTCCTTTCATGTCCCTCTTCATTCATGGAAACAAAAAGAAGTCGCATGGAGCAAGGTTAGGTGAGTCAGGTGCGTGGACTAAGAGAGGAATGCTGGTTTTTTTGCCCAAAACTTGCACACTGAGATGGCTGCAAGAACAGGTGCATTGTGGTGGTGGCAAAACTGGCCCCCCATTTGCCACAAACCAGGCTTTTTTTGTCGCACACTTTTAAACAATCTTTTCAGAACCTCTAAATAGAAAGCTTGATTAACAGTCTGATCTGGTGGAACGAACTCCAAATGCATTACAAGTCAACATTTTCATCAGTTCAGGAAGTTGACAGAGGTCCACAATGAGGTTTGTCAATAATCAACATTTCACCTTTTTGAAATTAGAAAACCACTCAGATAATTGAGTTTTTCCCATAATGCTGTCCTGGTAAGCTGTGTTCAACATCACAAATTCATAGCCACATGCTGCTGTCTTAAATCAGCCATCACAAAAAACAAGGTTCAAGCAAAACGCTTTCACGAAAAAAATCACCGTGACCACAGAGAACCTTCCCAGGTGACGCCACCAGGTGCACTAACTCAGAGGGAGTTGCTTGATGCTCACCTGGAGGGAAAAATGAATACTACAAAAGCTCCACCCAGCGGAGCTTTCTTCCATTTTTGGCTTGTTTATTTGGGGGGGTACCTGCTTATAGATGAGTGTCCCTAGATTTGTTTCTCTAGTCAACCAGGCCTAACACACCTCCTATCCAAGAACCCATTATAAGGATGGATGCATAAAAATGGCACATTAAATACGCAGCTGACTGATGCTGACCATCAACTGGAGCCTTGTGTTTCCAAGCAGCCACAGATAGAGTATCAAACATGAACAGAATGCATATTCTTTGTTTTTCATATGACATGTTACCAGGAAGGGCCAGTCTCTAGAAAATAGTATCATGCTTGGAACAGAAGGTCAGCAAAAAGGTGGAAGACTCAATGAGATGGAATTTCAGAGCAGAACACCCATGGGCTCTAACCTAAGAATGCTGGTGAGGAGGGTGCAGGGCTGGGCAGTGTAGTGTCTGTCATGCACGGGATCAATTATGAGTCGGAACCAATATGTAGGTTTCCTCACAGCAATAATCCCAAAGCTGGAGCCTCCTCCTCTACTCCCCTCTACCAAGTGAAGACAGGTGAGATGGCAAATATTTCAAAGTTCCTTGAAGGATATGGAAGAAGTAATTTTTCCTACCAAATCCTCTCACCCCCATAACTTCTTACACCCAAGTGACTGGGGTCTGATTTTTGTCTGAGAAGTAAGATAATAGTGACATCTTTCAAAAGCTTCTCAACAGTACTGCACCTTGACGCCACAGGATAGAATGAGGTCAGTAAGCTTAGATTTATACTCAACCCATTAGCAGACTACAGAACTCCTCTGAATATCTTCAAGGAAAACTAGAAATCAAACTTTCCCCTCATATTAAGAGGCTTCAAGGTTCTAGCAGTGAGTTTGAAAAGATAGGTTAAAAAAAAAATCAATGAAATGAACAATACGCCATTTCTAACGGCAGAAGAAATCCGAAGTTGTAGAGAATGCCATCATACTGCCCAGAGAAAGAGCATTATCACTGTAGTATGAAGAGTAAATTCCACAAAGAGTGTGTGAACTTGTCTATGTGCGGACGGCGAGGGTTGAGGAAGAACAAGAGGCTAAATCCTCACATATTTCAGGATAGAAGATAACTTATTCTTTTAAATGATGATATCTACATAGACTATGTAAAAGCAGCAATTATGAAGGTTGAAAATGGTTCCCAAAGGTTAGAGATGAGAAGTAGAAGCGTTGACTCATGCTTTTTATTATTTTTGGTTGTATTCTTTCATTTGTAAAAAATAGTGCACATGGGGCCCAAACACAGCAACGAATGTGAGGGTGGCGCAGGCCTGGGCAGTGTTTCATTCTGTTGTGTATACGAGGGGGCTTCAAAAGCTTGTGGAAAAAACTGAATTCAAAGCAATGGAACTTTTCCATTGTAGGTTTGCTTTGAGTTGGGGCTCATTGGTCTACAGCTAACAAGACCGACTGCCTGGAAAACATATAAAGCCAAACAAACTCCCGTACGTTTTACCTCTTAATTTCCAAACAAACATAAACCTTTACACCTTTTCAGACCGGGTTATTCTTTGTTGAAATGGGAAAATAAGAATTTATCAGCCATTGCACTGCAGCATCTGTAAGCAGAACGCCTTCAATCGTTATCATGGAAAGCAGGTACCTCAGTAATCGGCCCTTCTCTTGTGCCTCGGAGAAGACTCATTTCATCAGCAGTCAGCTGGAACTTGGATAAGAAGGCATCTGCAACTTGTGCTCTGATCTCTAATCTCTGACTACAATAAAATAAAATTTTAAAAATCAAGCATGTATGTACTTGTATAACTTTAAAACAAATTAGGATTCTGTGGCAAATAATTCAGCTTGGCTCTTTGAGTCTGGTTCTGAAAACAGCCTTGGCAAAGGTAACCCCGTCCCCAGACAACTAGCTTTAGGAGGGATAAAGGGCCAAATGGGTCATGCTCACTCACTGGCTGGATGGCTCATAACTACGTATTAAGGCCCAGCCATGCGTAGTCCCTGAGGTTCCGGTGACTGGAAGCCTTAGGCACTGGAGCCTTCTCTTTGTGCCCCCATGGACCGTGGGGGATGGGTGCAACACGTCCAGGGGGACAATGGAAGCCTCATCATGCAGGAACTTTGTCAGGTCTGCTGGATGCAGCTCTATGTTTGCGTCCTTTCTGCTTATAATAGATGGGTACCCACTGCTCTTGAGTGGATTCCAACTCACATCGACTCTACAGGACAGGGTGGAACTGCCTCTGTATGTTTCCAGGACTGTAAGTCTGTATGGGAGTAGAAAGCTTTATCTTTCTCCTGCAGAGTAACTGGTGGTTTCCAACTGCCAACCTTTCAGTTAGCTGCCCAATATGGAACCTACTGTGCCACCAGGACTCCTGGCAATAAACGAGTAAGGCGTAAGTAATTATAGGTAATCATTTCTGTGAGCCACTCTCTCAAATTACTGAACCCAGCACAGGCAGTGAGAACCAACAGAGGCTGGCATCCGCCTATTCCCACAGGAGCAGGCAGGGCCGGGTCCCACCCTGTGGAGACGCAACTCTTGAGAAGTTGGTGTCAGAGAGAAAGTGCAAGTGAATGGCTGGTGTCCAGATGCTAAGGTGGGAGAGAGGGACTATGAGTTCTCATTTGGGGGGGTGGGAGGGAAGAGTAGCCTTTTGTTAGCTATTTATCCATTCAATCTCTGACAAAATAACTTTTAAAATAAAGATCTAACAAACTGTCAACATGTTCTAGAACCTTGTTTCCACCTCAAATAATGGCAGTTCAAAAGAGGAGCTAATACCAAGGACTCAAACAGAAAGAAACTGTTTAGGAAATGATGATGGGAACTATATACAAATGTGCCTGATAGAAATGATGTGTGGATTGTTATGGATCTGTTAGAGCCCCCCCCTGCAAAATGATTTAAAAAAAAAAAATATTGGCCATTAAATAAGCAAAAGTTGTTGCCGTGCAAAAGAAGAAACACATGCATAAACAGTCCCTGCTTTACAAATCCCAGTCTGTTCCATGTTCCAGACTAGTCCACCTTGTCCTCACAAGGTGATTTTGCAGGAAAGAGATCCGTTACTCCGTTCAATTCATTTCCTCTCAGTCTGTAACTTTTCATGTGAAGGACCTCATAGTGACCCTATAGGTCAGAACAAAACTGCCTGTGGGTTTCCAGACTGTTAACTCTTTACTCGAGTAGAAAGCCCCATCTTTCTCCTGAGGAGCAACTGGTGGTCTTGAACTGCTGACCTTGCTGTTCACAGCACAACAAGTAACCCATTAAGCCACCAGGAATCCTATTGGGCGCTAAGAGTAGGAATTGACTTTCTGGCAGTGAGTGTGTGACATATTCACTACTAATCATGTTTTTATTTTAGGCTAGAAATAGAAGCCAAGAACTTATTTACAAATGTCTTATAAATGCCTAAATCATTTCTCCACTTCCACCTTCCCAACTCTTCTACACACCATCGTAACAATTTTAAAGAATCATTTGAATTCTATTATCTGGATGCAATCCATCTAAATTGTTTAAAAATGGCACACCAGTGTCTAGAAAAAGCCGAGGTCAGATCAGCATCACTAGGAATGTGGAGCTATCTGATCGGACACTGCAGGCAAAATATAGCATCCTCTCTATCTCAGACCTGAAGACAGAAATAAAACGATAAAGCACATCAAAGTCCTCAGTCAACTGCTCCTCCTGACTCACAGAAAAAGCAACACCAAGAGAAGTCCTCTAGGTGGCAGTAACGCTTGGCTCCACTCAAATGTCCAAGTAAACCATCTAATTAAATTTACATAGATTTACCGGGCAAATATCCTCATTTTACTTCCAGACTTTAGGGTAACTGGTTTTGTTTCATACTCTTAAAGATCCAAGATTTAAATTTTTTAAAAATCTCATACAATTCCTTGAGACTGTACATATTAGCCATTCAACTAAACCTTCTAGGGACTTCTTTAGGGTCACTCATTGGAGTAAATCGATAATGTACTCTTATGACGCACAGAGGAAAATTAGGCTCTCTACTTTTGTTCACAGTTCCATTTTTTAGCCCAGCCTAGTATGACACATATTGATCCCTTAACCTTTCAAATTCATTCCAAATAATATGGTTACTTTATCAAAAAGTCAACCCATGAAAAACAGACTTCGAACACCTCAGTTTTTATATCTACAGAAAGAGATGATCCCCAAAAAACTTTTAGTGGTTATTTTGAGGGGGATTCAGAAAGGTCATGGTACAAATTTCATCATCTTTTCATCTCATTTTTCCAAAGACTTTTGGAAGTCCCCCTCATAGTACTAAAACAAGTGTTTATTATCTCAAGATAACTTTTAAAGAACTGATTGAGTCAATTATATTTCTACGATCAATTTAATTTTAGCGTACGCATTATTTCAAGGTAAATGCTCACTACCATTTTGACGGAAAGTTGATTTTAGATGGTTCAGTGGCGTGGGAGGAGTCATGTATTTCATTTGCATAGCTGGGGCCTACAATGTGTACAGCCGGTCCTGTGGTCTGTCTTGGCGGGACAAAAGATGTATCTGACACAGACCTTGCGCCTGACATCACAAATGTCAATGACTTTTGGAAAAGTTCTTATATATGAGAACAAAAATCAAATGAAATGAATCTTAACGTAAATATGTAAATGAATATATAAACTCAGGGAGCACAGGTTCCCAAACTTTTTGGCTTACTTCTCCCTTTTCAGAAAAAAAAAAAAAATTACTCAGCACCCACCTGGGAATTAAAAGTCTTTGTGCAAGTTATTTTAAAAAGAAACGATAGGCACATACATACATTTATCGGACATGTATCATGTATTGTCTATGTATTTGACATAAACAAACGATTTAATCTTCATGAAGCGTCCTGACTTAAGCAAAGCCAGGACAAGGTTTATGAGCCAAGTACTGGCTCTCTTTTTCTTTTGTCTCCCCCTGGAGAGTGCCTCCTTCACACCTTCACTCTACCTGCCAGGCCCGCCTCTACCCAACAACATACAGCCAACAAGAAAAAGCTGAACGGAGTAAAATGCACGTCAGTGCATGAATACATGACTTACTCATATCCAAAACAATACTAATTGAAGCACTGTAATGTCATTTTTCATTCATGATATTGGTAGCTTTTTAATTCTGTGTTAACAAGGGTTTAATAAAATAGGCATGTATACGCACACTGCTAGGTTTACCATCTTGGAGAGAAATTTCTTAACATGCATCAGGACACATTTGAAGTTCATGCTATTTGGCCCATAAATTGAAATTCTAGTAATTTATCCTAAGGAAATCATCTAAAATGCACATAATGATTTTTTAAAATATTTACTAAACCATTATTTTTAGTAATGCAAACAACAATTTCAGAATGGTTAAATGGCGTGTTTTTCACAAGAAAAACATGGCATACGACCATGACAAAGGATGTGTCCCAGAAAGAGAAAACATGGGAGTATGCATCATGGATGAAGTGCCGTGACCAGACGAGTAGGCGAGCTGCAACTCCAGACACTCCATACGCCCCTCCTTCTGGATCCTAAGATCCAACAGGATATAGTTTGCAAACCAAGAGTCTAACCTATTTTAGATGTTTCAATATTCAAAAGCCGGTTCCCTAAATGCAATTTAAAAAAATGCTGCTGCTTTGTGCTATTTGCTAAGCGTGTTTTTAAAATGATGCCGGTACATGTTTTATTGGGTTCGATATATTGCCATGTTTCTCTAAAAGAGTAAAGTTATACTGGTGGCTATCTTAACTGCCTGCAATCATTTCCACTGATTTGCGTCCTCTTACGTGGGTAACTACACCTCTGCGTTCTTTGAAATTCCCCACTGTTTGGAGCTTAGGCTAGAACAAAGAGAACTCCGCTGAGGATTACGGGCTCACTATGAACGAATGCTGGGAGTAATGGACACTGAGGAGCAGGGACCAGGTGCTTGGGATCCTAGATGAAGGAAAGTATTTGTCAAGTTCTTTTGGCCATGACCTATAGTAAGTAGTACATTTCAGTCTGTGAAATAATAACTCAATTTACAAACAAGAAAAACAAATTGGCTTTGTGTCTTGGTTCCTGAGTGACAACCCTTAGAATTTCCTGAGTGACTAAGGTCAGAGCTCTATGGTATAAAATTTCCCAACCACGTCTGAGGATTGACAAGTGAGGGTTGGCTTGGTTAGAAAGACCATCTGGAGCCAGGTATCCGGTAACCCAGGAGACATGCTTTACCACAGTATCCACAGACACGGAGGCCTCAACCAAGACTACCTGGTGAAGCTGTTAAAGGCTTTGAGCAGAGGCTCAATAACTTCCCGGTTAGTGAAGGGAAGATAGTATGCCTCTGCGATATGTAAACTCCATATTTGGGAACCTTTCCAAATCATACATGATGGTCCTAAATTATAAGCCTTTTGATATACTAAATATTTAATCCTAACTATAGTAATTTCTGTGAGTTCCGTCAGCAACCTATCAACTCCAAATGAGTACTGGAGGTCAGCAGGTGAAAGAAGGGAGACCAAGGGCGGCACTCAAGCTCGCAGCTGGCATCCCAAAAGGATCGTGGGAAACACGGAATTTGCAGCCACTAAGGGGGTCATGAGGAATGCTAGTGGTGTAGTGAGTGGGTTACACATTGGGCTGCTAACCCTAACATCAGCAGTTCAAACCCACCAGTTGCTCTGTAGGAGAAAGATGAGGCTGCCTGCTCCCATAAAGATTTAGGGTGCAGTGGTGAAGCACTCCACAGCTAACCAAAAGGTGGGCCTTTCAAACCCTTTAGTGGCTCCACAGGAGAAAAGAGTAGTGATCTGTTCTTAGAGACATGACGGCCTAGGAAATCGACTTGCTCTCACACAACATGCACGTGATACGGCTTTCTCTGAAGGACCGTGTCCTTCTAACTCGGGAGCACTTCCAGCTCTCGAGGGACTGCCAGATTTGCAGCCGGTACCAGGAATGACTGAGAAGTAGAAAGTGGGGAATCTGAGTCATCTTTACATTTGGGGGACTGGATTTATGCTGATTCTAATCCACGAATAGACCATCCCCAGAAACTGAAACAAAAACACCACAAAATACTATTTCCTATTTCATCCTTTCCTATTTCATTTTCTTGTAGGTGAGTAGTGAGCCCATAAGCAACTTTTCAACCTATTGGCCTTAACCTGCAGTTCAAAAACTATTGCTCTTAGTCAGAGGTTGGTCAACTCCTTCTGCAAAGGGTCAGAGAATAGTTAGGCGTTGTAGGCCACATAGAGGTTCTGTTGTAATCACAGAACAGTAAGAAGAGTGAGGTCTTGTTGTTTGCTCTAGAGTTGGAACCTAAGTGCTTCCAAAAGTGTAGTGTTTTCATATTTTTAGTAATTTTTAGTAATAATTCCCACTGTAAGAACAGTGGGAATACAGCCATAAGCAACACATCAACACACAAGCCTGGCTGTGCTCCAGCAAAATTAGATTCACAAAACCCAGGGTGGTCTGGATTTGGCTTGTGGGTGTTGGTCTACCCCATACTCTGTGAGCTCGCCAGTCAAAACAAGCAATTAAGGTAGCAATACCTCCATATTACGGAGGGAATGTTTAGAATACTTGGGCTTCAAGTAAAACACCAACAGGGCTACCGAGTGGCAGGAAAATGCACAGTGAGCTGCCTCCTGATGGGATGTTTTGTCCCCTCCTCCTCCACACAGGAGCGATGCTGTGAGTGCTCGCCACAAACCATCAACAGGACACATTGCACTCACCCTCCTTCGCGCATCCAGTCAAAAGTAATAGTAGTCCTGTTTGTGCAAACTACCAGAGGAGGAACCGATACACTTAACGCTTGATTACAGTAGAGGGGGAGGTAACTGGGTTAACAAAGAAGAGACAATGAACATGTGACAAAAATTAAATTACTAAAAATCTGAAAACACTACACTTCTGGAAGCACTTAGGTTCCAACTCTAGAGCAAACACCAACACCTCACCAACTCGATTACAAAGCAGGGACAATCCCTACCACCCCAAATCACCTTCGTGCTCATCAACCAGTGTTCTTGGGCTTATGTTGTGATTTTGACTAGATTGCATCAATTTTGATTAATTTTTGTTTAACTTTAACGTGGAGTCACCTGGAACTGACTTTCTCCTCTGTCCAGACTCATCTAAAGGTGACTTTATAATGGAAGCTTACCTTTCAGTTTGAAGCTTCGTGGTTTTTACTATTAAATCCTGAGTCTGTTCCTTTGCAGCCTACAATTACAAAAAGAACCTAACATTAGTACAATCCAATTTTACCTCACAAAACTAATGGCACTAATGACTGGCGTTTCAGACTTAACAACAAATAACATCACAGCCCACAAG